GCCAAGAATGTAAAAAGGCTTAACGGAGAGGCAGTTTCTGTAAGCAACACCAGAATGTTTCCTTCCTGCCTTCCTTACAGGATTAGACCAGTAATTTCTTCTAACAACCGGTTCTCCGAACTGCATAGAATGTTAACAACCGGTTCTAGCGAATAGATGCAAACTGGAAGAATCCCATCCCTGCTGGCACTTTGAGATGTTGGAAAAACCACGGCATTGCAAACAATGGGTTCATTTAACAACTGTGGCATTCACTTAATGACCACCCAAAAAATTCTAAAATTTTACAATTGTTACAACTTACAACCATTATGGGCAGACTTCATTCCAGTCGTAACTCGAGGACTACCTATATACGCAATCAAATTATGGTTGGTTGCGCCTGTTTCTCATGAATTTGCCCTTAATCTACTGCCATGTGTATTTCAATGCAATAAGCCAAAACCTATAGTTTATTGAACGAGCCACAAGGGCATAGACCTTCCCTATGTAGAATGGTTTCCATTTAAGAAAAAAAGACAGATTAAAAGAGGCATGAGAGATGTGAAAAATAGTTATGTCTAGTCCCAATTTCAATGTGATAGAAAATGTTTTAGAAGATAATTTTAGTAAGATTTTCAAGGATAAATATATTTCCGGCCATATTTAATGGCAGGATGGCTATACAGCAAAGGTGAACGTTTTGTTTTACATTATACAACTGACATTTCTAATAGATTGAATTAAATCTCTGCTTTAATTAAACCCAAATCGAGTTTCTGCCATGGAGCTATTTCAGTTTGCAAATGTGGACAACCAAGGATTCTTCAGAGCGGTGGAACGCTCTATAACAATGACAGCAAAAGAAAAATAATAATCAGCAATAGCACCATCTGTCATCTCTAATCATAAAAAAAGCCTCCAAGGGCCAAAGCAGAACTTGGAAAGAAAAGATAAAGTACCCTAAGGAGGCGAGGCGGAAGAAATGAAAAACATGGAACACTGAAGCTTTTTTCCCCAAAGGGACATAGGAAAACGTTCAGGCACTTTTGGTATGGCCTTAACAATTGTTTCCTTGCACGATGTACATTTTATAAATAAGTAAGGGGAGAGTATCCTTCCTTACAATACCAGAAAATGGAGCCAAGATGGTGAGCAGTGCAAGTTTCGGGTCCCTGAAAAGGAATCATTTCACCCAGTGCATAATTGAACAGTCAGCCTTGGGAGAACTGACTGTTGTGGTCCATCGACAGCAGCTGTGGACAGCTGAGGTCTCAGAGAGTGAGGACTCAGATGAGGGGCCTGTGTGTGATGCAGGGATGGGGCCAGGACCATCCGGGAGTGGAATGCTGCCTTTGGAGATTGTGGAGGCTGGCAGCAGTGATGAAGAGGTCCCCAAGGAGCCTGTGCCCAGTGCACATGCGCGCAGGGCTGCTCGAAGGAAAGAGCAGCTGCAGCAGCACGGACGACTTGGAAGTAAGGCTGCAAGGTAATGGCCCCTCCCTCAAGAGATAAAAGCCAGCTGAGAAATCGGAGTTCTTTGCAGGAAGCAAAGAAGTTTTTGCACTGAAGCCATGTGGATGTTCAGAATATCTTGATTGGTGTTTGGAGACTCTTCGTACTTGAAATATTTCTTAGTAACTTTATCTAAAGTTCTTGGCAGCCTTGTACCACCTTGGGAAGGCTTGTTCTTATCAGAGACAGTTAGTTTGAAACAGCCTTTTAACTGTGAACGAACAGAATTCGTAAAGAATCATTTTTTCTGTTTTTCTGTTTCGTGTTTGTTTCCTTGGAACAAGGTTTGGTCAGAACACCGACCCATGCCATGGCTTCCGGCACAGAACAAGGAGCTGCGGAATACAGGTAGTTCTCGACTTAACAGCCACATTTGAGCCCAACATTTCTGTTGCTAAGCAAGTCGGTTAAGTGAGTCTTGCCCCATTTTACAACTTTTCTTGCCACAGTTGTTAAGCGAATCACTGCAGTTGCTAAGCTGATAACACGGTTGTTAAGTGAATCTGGCTTCCCTGCTGACTTTGCTTGTCAGAAGGTCACAAAATGTGATCTTATGACCCTGGGACATTGGAACCATCATACATGCATGCCAGTTGCCGAGCCTCCTAATTTTGATCACATGACCTTGAGGATGCTACAATGATCATTAAGTGTGAAAAATGGTCATAAGTCACTTTTTGTGATGACCCAGAGTGTAACGCAAAAGTAACAAAATCCAACATGTAAATAAATGTCCTTTAATGCCTCCAACTTGGCCCCACTGTTCAATAATTCTCAGTTGGAGATAAAATGTACTCAAAAATATTCTTCAAAGGAAAGCAATACAGTCCAAACTTAATGAGCAGATAGAGGCAAAATAAAAAACCAAACAGACTACAATGACGAAATTTCCACAACAGACGAGGAGAAGTATTTACCAACTTCAAGGAGATAACAAGGCACAGTCTGTTGGAAGGATGCCAACAGACCAAAATAAAACACACTATGTTTCCAGCGTTTGCCAGTACACAGTATTCAGTTGTCACGCCTGCATCCCGTGAAGAGGATCAAGGCCCTCTCCTCCCGAGGAGACCAGTCTCTCCCTTATCCTCTCCTCCCTGCGTGCCCTAGGATGGAGCGGGGATGGGCCTGGGTCCTCTGACTGCTCAGCCAGCCTCTGCCCTTCCCCAGCCTCCTCCACAACCTCTGGAGTCACACTTCCACTCCCTGTCAGCTGTTCCTCCTCTCCCTCAGAGTCAGACTTCACCACTTCTTTTCAGCACTATTGTAGCCAAACAGTCACTAAATGAAAAGTTGTAACCTGAGGACTACCTGTATGTGGAGTTCTGCACTAAAACAGGGTTTCTCAACTGGTGTGCCACAGAATCCTAGAGTTCTGTGAGAAGTCACTAGAGTTCCTTGGGAGATCCTGAATTATCTTTAAAAAGCAGGCACTGAAGAAAAACCCTCCCACCTCAACAATAGATTGCCCCGTGGAGGAGACTTGTGCATCCACGTGCAAGCCCGGTGATGACCAAAGTGTGAGCTGAGTGAACAGTGAGCTGACCCAAGGAATGAGAAATGACAGAGAGGAGGGAGGAGTAGCAGGTGGTGAGAAGGAGATGCGGTTGGGACCTCCATGCCAGGATTCTCCTTGCTGGCATGTGCCTATTATTCAGCAGCTGCAGCAGATTTGAGGTCCCCATTTCAGGGACATCAGGAGCCACCCACCAAAGGGAGGAGGAGGAGGAGGAGGAGGAGGAGGAGGCAGCTCAGATGGGAGAAAAGAAAAAGTTTCATTATTTTTAGTTTAAGAACTTTTGAGAAACTCCCAGCCAGCAGGAGGAGGGGTCAAGCAGGGAAGTAGCCTTGAGTCCTTACACAACCACAAGAGACAGGCCTTAAGACACAAACACACACCCAAGTTTTATGGGACCTTATCTGTTTGTTCCCAAGGGAAGGCAGGCAGACTGGGAAGATTCTTGTAATAGAAGAAGATTCTAATATAGTAGATGATTTAAACCTTCCATGCGTGAATCTGGTTGGTTGTGCCTGAAAAGAATGTTGGTAATGCTTACATGTAGGCATACACATGAAACACACAATTTTGTTACTTCCGGCCTGTACTTGAGCCTGAATGTGTAGGGGTTCCCCAAGGCCTGAAAAATATTTCAGCCTCAAAAGTTTGAAAAACACTATTAAATGTTCATGGGCCTCCCCACAAGTATTATGGGTTTTTACAGCCAAGAAATCAGTTTCTTTTTTTAAAGTGTGAATCAAAGAGCGCCGGGATTCCTCCGAGACCCTCTCAGAGGTCAGCAAAATCAAAATTATTTGCCCGATATTGAATATATTTCCAAACACTTAGAACAAGGTCACTCTTCTCATCATTGCTTTCTGTTTATTAAAAAAAATACAGGGTGTTTTCATGAAAAAATAATTGATATTAATAATGGTTTTCATACTGTTCTTTTTGCACAATGTGATAAGCATTCTATGAGGGTATCGATTGTAATTTTTCATAATGGTAAATATTGAAAAATTTAACCCCATGCAAACAAAAACTCTTTGGGGATCCTCCATAAATTTTAAAAGGGCTCTCCAGAGCAAAAAGTTGAAGTGAAACTGGTTTAAATCCGTGGTGTAAATAGGGTATTTTTATTTTTAGAATGGAGTCTGTAGTTTGGGTGGGATTGCCTTGCCAGATTATCCTCCCCCCCCTCCCCGATCCTTTTCCGGGGTTTGTATCCCAAGCTCAGCATCTAAGCCCACTTCCCTTTCCCACAACCCCACATTTATGGTTCACCCTCCCTTTCAACCGCATCTGAGTTTCCACCCTTTAGCATTTCACCGCTGCTGTGAAGGCTATCATTTGTGATCTGGCAGCCTCGGCCAACTTGGGGGGCGGGGGAGCAGAGACAGAGGAGGGCCACGGGGTTTCAGGCTCTCGCCAACAGAAACAAGAGGTGAGAGAAGTCTTGCAACTCCGGTCTGCTTCTCTGAGCCGCCATTCCAGATTGCTTCAGGTGGTCTACCAGCTGTTGGGGAATTCTGGGAACCCCAGACCTAGCATAGCTGAAGGACTTCTGTGGCAGAGGGCTGCTTTAGTCCCTAGCTGTAGAGCTTAGAGCCAAGGTGGGGATTCACTATAAGAGCGGGGAGATCCGTGGAGAAGCATGGAAGCTTCCTGCAAACTTTTGGGCTATGATAGACCTTCTCAGCCCAAGACAGAGGTGGTATTCAGCAGGTTCTGGCCAGTTCTGGAAAACTGGAAATTTTGAGTAGTTCGGAGAACCAGAAAATACCACCTCTGACTGGCCCTGCCCCCCATCTATTCTCCGCCTCCCGAGTCCCAGCTGATTGGCTGGGTCTTCTTTTGTTGCCCTGCACAGGAGAACGGAGCTGGAAAGCAGGTTACTGGGGTGGGGAGGGAATGGGGATTTTGCAGTAACCTTCCCCTGCCACATCCACCAAGCCACGCCACACCCACCAATAGCTGGCTGGAGAATTCTGGGAGTTGAAGTCCACAAGTCATAAAGCTGCCAAGTTTGGAGACCTCTGAGCTAGATTGTTCCTTCTTTTCCATACTTATCCACCTAAAGGAAAGCAAGGTACAGCTCATGCGGTAAGAGATTATATGAAGAGATCATTCCCAAAGCTGTTCCCAAAAACTTCGGAGTAGTGCATGGAAAACATTATTATGGAAAGAGCCTTAAGGTATATTTGGCCCAACCTACCACCTATTCACCCGGCTACAATCTTGTCTGGCATTATCATACCCCTAGTTTGGGTAACGTAATGTCTGCAAGAAAACAGCCAAGCTCAGAGAGCACCAAGGACCCCCTTGTTCATCATTTTTGTCTGCTGTGTATTCACTGGCTGAGTTCATGTGTTATGCTAAGCCACAGTGAGACTCATTTGATTTACGCATATCATGCTATATTAACCCAGTCGCTGTGATTTATGCAGGGGTGGGCTTCAAATTTTTTAGCAAGGGGCTCTCTGCCCTAATGACTGGATGGGTAGGCATGGCTGGGTGGTCATGTGACTGGGTCGCTTCCTTGCCCTAATTACCTAAAAAAAGATAATATACCAAAAAGTTGATTATGATTTTGTTGCATTTAATACTTAAATAGAAGACTGGGTGAAGCCAGGCGTAATAGCAGTGGCTGTGAGAGGAATTTTGGAGTCTTAGTGGAATTTCTGGTGAGTTACGTGATTCTTATTATTTGGGAATTAATCCCCTGGGAGGCTAGTGGCTATGTTATCTGATTTTCTCAATGGCTCTCCCTTTCAAGCGCTGAGTGGATTGTTTATCTAGCTTGCAACACTTTTACGGGGTGTGAAATGATCTTGGCTGAACGCCCAGAAGTTCAATTAAGCCTAATAAGAGCTTTCCCTTGCTGCTTGCCTTTCTGAGGTTATTGGGGCTCTCCGAGCCCTGCAGACTCTTAGCCAGGGGCTCTCCCGAGCCCGTGCGAGCTACCAGCAGCCCACCCCTGGATTTATGCCTGATGATGGGTCATGATTTAGCATCTTGTGAAGCCTCGGCCCATTATGACTTATCGAACAAAATTATGGCTAAACAAACCAGAGCTCAGCCTCAGCTCAGCTCAGCTCAGAGCTCAGTTTGTTTCTCTAGATGATCTTTGGCCCAATGCAGGTACAGTAACGTGTAAGAAGCATACTTGTCGTATCGGCTGATACGATCACAAAAGACGCGAGGCAGTGACTGGGTTTAGCTCTTTTATTTCAGGTTTTAAAATCTGCCGCCGGCTGGGTATGCGGCGGCTTATATTGAACTGGTGCTGGGCGCCGCGGCCAATGACAGCCGTTCGAATCGCCCGCGATCGGCTCGGCCAATCGCGGTCAATTCAGAACGGCCAATCAGTGCCACGTGCTTGACCAATCCGGTTGCTGTGCGCTTGTCCAACCAGGATTGCAGGATTCCAAGAATGCTAATGTCCATACAGAACAATACTCATGATTTATAAAGACAAATAGGCACTGAGGTCTTTCATTAAGTAGGAGCCTGGATGCACCTTTCCTCCTACAATGGCACAATCGGGACATTTTCCTCTCTTCTTCCCCTCCTATTTATGCCAAAGGAGAATCTGTATTGGCATCGGTGCTAGATTTTCTCCGAAGCCAATACTGGCTTCAGAAGAGAGATTTTCCTCAAAACTGCCAGAGGGAAGGAAAAGTTTACATGTGTGTTCCATGCTTGCTCTTGCTCTGTTAATTATTCTGCCGCTTTCAAGTTAGTGCAATTAAAAAAGAAAAGAAAGCATTATAAAGATGAAATTTGGACCCTCAGATAAGGGAAGCTGCCCTTTGAACACATTAAAAGTACCACCTGGAATATTATATTTAGAGGATTCTGTGTGTGTACATCGTTCCAATATTTGGGTGTCCTTGTAATTCATCTACAATTTGTACAACATGCTAACCTTGTTGCGTCGGTTTAGTGTTTCGTGCAAGGACAACATCTGTTGCTGTTGGTCCTGCTATTAATTGTCAAAAGTTGCTTTTTGACTAATGGCCATTTCAATAGGGCACGTTTTCAGCAAGAGGAATGCCAAAGGGGAGGGTTAAAATAGAACAGAATATTCGTTATTGGCCAAGTGTGATTAAGACACCCAAGGAATTTGTCTCCGGTGAATAAGCTCTCAGCGTAGATACAAACAACAAAGTGATAAATCACAGATCATACATCATAAGATAGAAATAACAAGTCATAAGTCATAAGATACTAATGGGAGAGGGTAGTAGGAAAGATGAGGAAGATGAGGAAGATGAGAAGGATATAGCAATACTATCCTACTACACGGGTAAATATCTAATGTATAAGACAATCCTGTGGGAAATTATTATTATTATTATTAATAATAATAAATAAATATTAATAATAAATAAATAAATATTAATAAAAAATAAAAAATAATATATAATTAATATATTTATTTATTTGTCAAGCATGTATTAGATTACAGATATAATTAGAACATGAGGGGAAACTGTCTCTGTGTCTAGTTGTTTTGGCATGCAGTGCCTTATAATGGTGTTTGCAGGGAGAAGTCAAAACAGTTTATGTCCATGGAGTGAGGGGTCTGTAGATATTTTCTCAGTCCTCTTTTTGACTCGTGCAGTATTCAGTGCACAAGGCACGCTGGTTGCAATTGTTCTTTCTGCAGTCCTAACTATCCCTTTGAAGTCTGTGCCTGTCCTATTTCGCCGCTGCACCAAACCAGACAGTTATAGAGGTACAAATGACATGAAGAGGACATGATAAGAGAGAGAGAAAGAAATACCTCCTTTTATACTTTAATTTAAAAACAAGCACAACTAGGGACATCTGGGGAAGAGCAAAGGGTGCATCAAAAATTCAAGACTGTGGCCAAGACCACACAAAGCTATTTTTTTACAAGTGTCTCACGCAAAATAGGAACAAGACTTTCAAAAACCTGGTCCCAACTTCGAATGGACCTTTTTGACAGTGCCCTCCAACCCCGTAAATACAGATCGTCCTCGAATGAAGACCATAATTGGGACCACAACTTTTGCTGTTAAGTGGGGTGGTCATTAAGTGAGTCACACTCAATTTTTTAAAAATATTCTTTTATTAATTTTCTTTTGTTACATCGTAAAACATCGTAAAAACGTTCTTGGCATCTATACAGGTTTTTGGTTTAAATATCACAATACATTATATTACATTTGTCTACTAATAAATAATAGCTTTAACTATGATTACTATTCTTATATCTTTATATAATTTACAAAATTTTATTTTACTTTCTTAAGGATTGTTTCATAGTCACACTCAATTTTAATGACTTTTTTTGTATTGATTGTTAGGTGAATCACCACAGTTGTTCAGTGAATCACAGGGTCATTAATCAAATCCAGCTTTTCCCATTTACTTCGTTGGAAGTGGGTTGGGAAAGTCACAAATATCACCCTTGTGACTCCAGGATGCTTGAAAACACTGTAAATGTGTTGAATCATGATCATGCGAGTGTGGAGACACGCAACTGTCATAAGCACAAGGACTAGTCATAAGTTGCTTTTTTTCAGCACGGTCATAACTTTGAATGGTTGTTAAACAAATGGTCACAAGTCAAGGACTACCTATAACTGAGGAATGAAAACATGATTAAGATGCCATTGACTGATCTCTTATTTTTCCAAGACTGTCAAGAAGGGAGAGTTAGCTTTAATATTTTTCAGTTGTGATTACCTCTTAACACCTCAAAATGTAGCACAAGATGTGCACATCTCACAACTTATCCCTTATACACACACATATACACACACAAACAGAGATCCTAGCTGAATTGCCTTATAAGGACATGCAATGTTTTCCAGCCTGCATTTGGATGCCAGTTTGAAACCTGGAGATCAGCTCTCTTATCTTTTTAATTTCCTGAAATGTCTTCGCTCCCTGCAAGTTCTTACCCACATCAGCTTTTCCACTGCCTTTCTCAAAATTGCTACTGGGTTGTAATTTTTAACATTACTTCATGCATGATGAGTAATCACATTAATTGCCTGGCATTGTACATCTTTGAAAAACAATCACACAGATCATTTTGGTTTCATTAGGAAATAAAAACTCACCGGCTGAAATGGAAAAACGAGAGTAAGGTATTTGGGTTTTTTTCCATGCCACTCCATTCACAGGGGCCATCGACTTCAGTGGGTGAGATGGAAAAAAGGAAGGGAAAAGAGATTGAAGGCAGTAAGAAGAGATGGGCAGCTCACCTGTGAAAGGAGTTGGCTAATGAAGATCTGGAGATGTTCCCCAAGGGAACACAGACAGGCCAAAAAGGCATTAAGATGGATCCTGTTGACGGTGGAGGAACTCAAAAGACAAGATCAGAGAAAGGGATATCTCAAAATTCACCTGGCTGAGTCGTGGCTTCTTCCAAACGTTGCATAATGGCCCAGCATCAAACCTTGTTTTGACATTCAACAAAACAGAGACTGAGCAGCTGAAAGCTCCGTGAAAAGCCCCATAAATACTTGCACGGAAAGGGCCGTTATTCTTTCTGCCTCCCCGTAAATGTCCCAAAAGGAAGGGAGTTGTAATTAACAGCCTGTTCTCCAAAGCAAGGATGGCGTGATTTATTTTTCATAAACTGGTCCCCAGAGAACCTGGCAGCTCTCATTAGTAAACATTAATTTCAGTTTATCCTTCTGCTCTGTTACGGCATTTGTATCCTCATGCTGTGTCTGTTCCAAGCAAGAATTGGACTAGTTGGAAGCGGGGACGACAAGTACAGCTTCTCTCAAAAAGAGTTTCCAGGTATCCGGGGCAGTCTGTTAAGGTGTGATCCAAAACAACAAGGGGCAGCCATGATGGAATCATCAAAAGCTCTGCCTGTTTTTTATGTGCATCACCTAGAAAACAAATGTAGCTTTGAGGGCACCATGGTGGTTTCATCTTTTGGACCATGTCCTGCAGAGAGTACAGGGAAAAAGGGAAAAGAGTCCATTGATTACATCAAGAAATGAAAAACTTAAGGACTGGATGGGG